GATTATATATTGGGACGTGGACAGTGTGCAGCCAGCTACAGATGTTGATTATATGTTGGGACGTGGACAGTGTGCCGCCAGCTACTGATGATGATTATATGCTGGGACGTGGACAATGTGCCGCCAGCTACTGATGATAATGATATGCTGGGACGTGGACAGTGTGCCGCCACCTATTGATGACGATTATGTGCTGGGACGTGGTCAGTGAGCCGCCAGCTATAGATGATGATTATATGCTTGGACGTGGTCCGTATGCCGCCAGCTGCAGCCGACAGTCGGCTTGCTATGATTATGGTATGATTTCGGATGCCGGAGCTGGATACGAGCAGTCTATGATGGCTCGGCTCAATGGTGGACTCATATGTCTACCGGGCGCAGATTGGCCCCAGTTTTGTATGAATGTAAGTTAAAATTTTAAATTTCAATTCATTGCATTGTATCTGGCTTGTCATGTGTCAGTCATGGGATATGCCTGGGGGATTGGAAGGCAGTTCTTGGGATTTTCGTTCTTGCCTCTTATTGTATTTTATTGATCTGCATGGCATTGTGGAATGAATGGCTGTGGGATAATGTAAAAATATGTTTTCTTCCTCTCATAAGTCAGCGCTCAATTGATGGGGCAACCTCCTAGTACGATAGTGTAAGGAGGACTACCTAGCATCATCCGACACAAGTTGATTGGTTATTCCTGAAAGAGGGTGGTGCTTAACCTAGTGAAGTGTTCCAGTGGCAAGGGACTCAGCATCATCGGATGGGGTTCCTCTTTAGATGGGCCTTCGCGGTTAGATACTGTCGAGCTCTGAAAAGATAGGTAGTCAGTCATGTGTCATAGTCGATGGAGTGATCTGTCCGATCTTGTGGTCGGGGCGAAGATCACTCAGCATCGCAGCGGTTTGGAGCTTGCTGCATTCTTCTTGATGGAAGGAGTGTTCCCATTGCAACTGCCGAGTTCTCACAACGGTTCACCGGCGAGAATCTAACCACAGTGGCATCCCCTGCGGTGTCAGCACTTATGTCCTTCATGAAGAGGCATAGAGTTTCAACTGCGCCTCTTGGGCAAGAGATGATTCCCTGAAGCAGGTTCTCACAGGTCCAGAGGCTAGCTGGGTTGACGGGGCGTCCGAGCCATAGCAGCTGATAGCCTCGAACCTTCGGGTGGTTAGCCGTTCCCGGGTCATCGGGTGGCGACCTGGTCCGCCTGCTGGAAAGGAAGGAGGCATCATGAGCCTCTCCTAGTCTAAATCCGACAATTGGTTGATCAAGGTGGTAGACTCCTACTATCACTATGATCGGGATGTCTCTAGGGGGCCGTGTCTCCAGGTGCATTCCCTTGGCATCGGGCCAAGCCAGGTATCTACTGTTCAGCTGGCAACAGGGCCATTATGGCCTCCTAGCCCACTATTGCAAAGCTTAATTGTGGACTAGCTTTGACTCACCAGCCGGGTCTGGTCGGGTGTTGGCTGGCTCCCCTCACAGTTGCAAAGAGTCAGGCGTTAGTCAAGAAGTCAAGCGAGTAGACAGAAGCTCTGATGTCGACTAATGAGCTTCTGATCCATGGGTCTGAACTCATCGGAGTGAGGGCTTCATGAAGGGGTGTGCGGCTCCCCGTGAGCTGTTCTGAGCAAGGGCTCAGAGGGTGGTCGGACTGCCATGACGGGGAATCATGACTGACTTTGCTCTGCTTGCCGGGTTGGGTCAGCGGAGGAGCCCACCAGAGCGAGCGGGGGCACTCTTGGAAGGCCGAAAGGTAAGACTCTGAGAGTGAGTGAGGAAGGGGTGTTGGCAAGGGTCTTTAGGGGAGACCCTTTTCTCGTATTTTTTTGGCATTACAGTTACCCTACAGCCAGACGAAGACAACGGGGTTTGGTATGACCCGACAGTAAGTGGCACAGAGCCAGCAGACAAAGAGAAAGGGGTTTGGTATGTTTCCCCCTTATGAGGCGGCCTTTGGTCAAAATGACCCAGATGATCCTGAGTTCGATGATTAGTCCCATATCCACCCGTGGCTGGACTGTAACTGAGATAATGATGAGGATTATGTTATGCTGATGAGATGGACTGATCTGATGAGGTTGAGATGAGCAGGCCAGGACTGAGACTTGGACTGCTAGGCCAAACCTAACGATAGGGTTTGGTCTAAGATTGGGCATGATTGTGATGATGCACAAGGTCAAACCTAATGAGGGGATTAACCTAGGATTGAGACTGATTTAGTAGTGCAAGAAAACGGGATTTGGTAGTATGATTGGGCTGCATGAGCAGTCATGATATTTGCGTGCGGTGACTGCACCGCGCAAGCTTGATGAGACTAATCCTTCTTTGATTTGGATGGTGGCTTGGACCACAGGTCCATGCCTTATTGAGCAAGCACTCGAGCCCTAGCGGGCGAGCACTTTGATGATTTAGATATGTTTTATATGATGCCTTTGTATATCGGATAGCATACGAGGCCGCACAACTCAAGCTGGCGGATGAAGAACAGCGCAAGTACGACGCACAAGCGATGGCCGGACGGTGCAGCCTGGTGGACGATGGACAACGGCGGTGGCGCAGGGCGAGGCGGCTGTGGCAGGATGGTGAGCTGGCGAGGGTGAGGCTGATTTGAAGAAAAGGAAGGACGATATGGCGAAGGGTACGATCGAGAGGGCGTCTCAAAACGTGGAGGCGGGCTGCCATAGCGCTGCTCGTATTTATATGTATAGTACATCATGGACCTAGGCGACGGAGTGCGACCACGCCGGTCCTCTGAGCGATGGTGCAAGCGCGTTCCCTCCCATCTCTCCTCCTCCTCCTCTTCGGATCTCTCCTCCTCGTATGTCAGATCGATTGGTCGATCTGGCACCTTCCCCTGTCGGTCTCCTCTCTCACGTCCAGCGCCCGAGCCTCGCGTCTTTGGCGCCATGGCAAAGGCTGATTAGCTACGCGACGATAAGCGATAGCACGGCAAGAGCGCAAGCAAGTTGAGAGCGATGAAAGCAGTGGCAGTCGCGAGAGCGTAATGGCGTAGCACACTTAACGATGCGAACTCTAGTGAGAATGATGAGAGTAAGTAAGCCATTAGGCTCTTTATAGTAGAGGGATTCTGGCGGGGACGCCAGGAATGGGGTTTGGTATGGTTGTCAGACAGCGACGCGCCGCATCAACGTATAGTTGACTCGTCGCGGCCAGCCTCCGCACCATAGGACTGCATATGGTCACGATCAGCAGAATGTTGACACGCTAGTTTGGCCCTTGGGTCGAGTCAGCTAACAAGACGACGCGACGGTCCAGCCCCATGGAGACCGAATCACGGCTTTTGGGCTGAACCGCCACGTCTGCAAGGGCCAGGTTAGTAGGGCCCGGTCCAAACGGTACTAAGAACGGACCAGGGGTTAGTGAGAAAAATAGAATTGACCACTTGGACCGGACTTGCCATGTCGAGAAGAGTACGGCCCGAAATGGTCAAGGGGCATAAGATTAGGCCCCTTATTATGATTAAGAGGGGTGTTTTATTTTTAAAACAAGGCCGACCGTTAGTATTCCAAAGTCAGGCCAGCCCAAGCCCGACGCTAATTTTTAGCAAATGTCCGTGCTATTTTTAGCGTTGGCCGCGCTATTTTTGGCATAGGCCTGAGTTATTTTTAGCGCAGGCTCTAGCTAAATATAGCGCAGGCCCACGCTATTTTTACCATGGGGCTGACTGTCCGTATCCCAAGGTCGGGGCTGTCCCAAGTCCCGCGCTAATTTTAGCGCAGTCCCGCGCTAATTTTAGCATAGGCCAGCGCTATATTTAGCGCAGGCCCGTGCTATTTTTAACACAGGACTGACTGTTCGTGTCCCAAAGTCGGGACGGTCCCAATCCCATGCTAATTTTAGCGCGGTCCCGCGCTAATTTTAGCACAGGCCCGCGCTATATTCAGCGCAGGCCCGTGCTATTTTTAACACGGGACTGATTGTTCATGTCCCAAAGTCGGGACTGTCCCAGTCCCGCACTAATTTTAGTGCAGGCTTGTGCTAATTTTAGCACAGGCCTGTGCTATTTTTAGCCCAAGGACTGCTGCACCTTGCCCGATCACCCGGCCTCTTCACTATAAAAGAGAGGCCGAGTCACTTGAGAGGGACGAGAGGCCCTCATTTGCGGGAATGCGGAAGCACTTGTGGACCGGCAAGCGGGAGTTGCAGCGTTGGAACAAGTAAGGGATGGAGAAAGACAAGGCAAGCAAGGGAGAGGTAAAGGAGTGGAGCAGCTTGGGGAAGAGGTAGTCTTGCTTCTCACTAGGGTCATGGCCCTCTCCCTTGCCTCCCCTCCTATCTCTCTCTCCCTTTGCTCTTTTCTTTCCCTCTCTTCTTCCTCCCTCTCCTACCCACTTCCATCATCCCCCTTTAGTCAAACTGGTCGCTTATGAATAAAGCCCCAGTTTTTATTTTATTTTATTTTATTTTATTTTATTTTATTTTATCTTTATTTCCGGCGTGCACCATTACCACATCAGGGTTACTGTATGCCTATGCGCCGCGCTAGAGAGCACAAGGGTTACTTTATGCCTATGCACCGCGCCGGAGGGCACAAGGGTTACTGTATGCCTGTGCGCCACGCCGGAGAGCACAAGGGTTACTGTATGCCTGTGCACCGCGCCGAGAAGCACAAGGGTTATTGTATGCCTGTGCACCGTGCCAGAGAGCACAAGGGTTACTGTATGTCTGTGCGCCGCGCCAGAGAACACAAGGGTTACTGTATGCCTGTGCGCCGCGCCAGAGAGCACAAGGGTTACTGTATGCCTGTGCGCCAGAGAGCACAAGGGTCACTGTACATCAGAGCGCACCGCGCCAATGAGTATTTGAGCGCACCACGCCAATGAGTGTCTGTATATCTGAGCGCACCACGTCAATGAGTATCAAGGCCACTGTTTATCTGAGCGCACCGCGCCAATGAGTATCCGAGCGCACCGCGCCAATGAGTGTCTGTATATCTGAGCGCACCACGCCAATGAGTATCAAGGTCACTGTACATCTGAGCGCACCTCGCCAAAGAGCATCGAGGACGCTGTATGTTTGAGCGCACTGCGCAAGTCGATTTACTGTGCCAGCAGGGACTTGATTGAGCATTTCAATTTTCTGTGCCAGCAGGCACTCAGTTGAGCAAGTCGATTTACTGTGCCCGCAGGCACTTAATTGAGCACTTCGATTTTCTGTGCCAGTAGGCACTCAGTTGAACAAGACGATTTACTGTGCCAACAGGCACTCCAATTGAGCACTTCGTTTTATTGTGCAAGGAGGCACCCAATTGAGCAAGTCGATTTACTGTGCCAGCAGGCACTCAACTGAGCACTTTGTTTTATTCTGCCAGCAGGCACCCAGTTGAGCAAGTCGATTTACTGTGCCAGCAGGCACTCAATTGAGCACTTAGATTTTTCGTGCCAGCAGGCACTCAGATGAAGCAAGGCGATCCATTGTGCCAACAGACACTCAGCTGAGCATGTCGATTTACTATACCTGTGAGCACTCAAGATGAGCATGTTGATTTTAAGTACAATTAGTAACTACAACTGTGCGCCTCCAAGAGCGTCACTGCACAGTAAAACTTGGCTTTTAATGACTCTGAACAGCAATATTCCGTAGCGGTGTCCCCAAGCGATCGTGTGATTGTGCGCACTCAACTCGGATTCGAGCGGGTGTGACATTGCGCACTCAACTTGTGAGACAGTGACTGCACGCTCTCAAAATCGGACATTGTGTTCATTAAGGATTGGCTTTGAGCAAAAAACATATTACGCACTTCATCTGTAAACCCCGGCATTGATGATTTTAAGTCTGTGCGACAGCGCACACTTTATCTGAAAACCTGACATTGATGATCTTGAGCCAGCGCAACAGTGCGCACTCAACTTATGAACTCAATTTTGATGGATTTGAGTCTGTGTAACACTGCGCACTCAATCTGTGTATTCTACCTTGAAGATTTCCATGCGCGCTCGGGCCCGGGCAAGTTGTCTGAGTGTTCGCCCAAGCTCAGGCAAGTTGTCTAAGTGCGCCCCCAGGCTCGGGCAAGATGTTAGAGTCCGCGCCCAGTCTCAGTTTGGCTGATCGAGTGCGTGCCCAGTCTCCGTTTGGCTGTTAGAGTGCACGCCCAGTCTTAGTTTGGCTGTTTGAGTGCGCGCCCAGTCTCGGTTTGGCTGTTAGAGTGCGCACCCATACGGGCCCAAGCTTGACATTGATGTTAGAGTGCGCGCCCATGCGCGCCCAAGCTTGGCATTGCTGTAAGAGTGCGCGTCCATGCTTGCCCAAGTTAGGCATTGTTGTTAGAGTGTACGCCCGTGCGCGCCCGAGCTCGGTATTGCTATATGAGTGTGCGCCCGTGCGCGCCCGAGCTCGGTATTGCTATATGAGTGTGCGCCCGTGCGCGCCCGAGTTCGGTATTGCTATACGAGTGTGCGCCCGTGTGCGCCCGAGCCTGGTATTGCTATATGAGTGTGCGCCCGTGTGTGCCCGAGCTTGGTATTGCTATATGAGTGCGCGCTCGTGCGCGCCCAAGCTAGATATTGTCATTTGAGTATGCGCTCACGTGCGCCCATGATCAGTATTGTTGTTTGAGTGTGCGCCCATGCGTGCCTATGCTCGGCATTGCGATTTGAGTGCGCACCCATGCGCGCCTACGCTTGGTATTGTCACATGAGTGCGCCCTTGCTCGGGTAGGCTACGTGAGCGAGTGCTATGATGATTTTGGAACGCACGTCTAGCCGATATGATGGTCGGGGATGCATGTCGAGC